AGGGGAATTTTGTAGAAAAAGAAAGTCCTCAGTTGCTTTTTTTTTTTTTTTTAATTAGGGAAAACTGAAACATCCATTCCATAGTGGAAAGGTGTTTACAGTGTCTTGGGTGCTGCTGCTTTGCTGAAAAGTAAAATCAACTGTGAGGCTGAGCCTTAATATTCTCTTTGTGTTACATATATTCTTAATCCTGATTTGAACTCTTACAGATACAGAAGAAAACTCCTGATAAATGAATTTTCAAGAGAAAGGAAGTCCTCCTCAGGAAGGTAGGTTAAATTTCTAGCTTAGCTGAGGGAATTTTGAAAACAAGTCTGAATTTTCACATGCACCATGTTGTTTCTTGAAACGCTCAGTTTAAAATAGTTCATTTTAAGTCTCCTCCTGCAGTGGAATTTAGTAACATCCACAGCATTTGTTTGAAAAGTTTTAAGGTGTTTGTTTGTAGCCTTTTACAAGTGGGTTTGTTTGAGTGTGGCTTGTTCTCCAGCAGTCCCAAATCTACTGTGTTTTTTTCCTTCAGTTCTGATTCAAAGGAGTCCACTGTGACAGTAGAACTTGAGACAGATGAAGTGGTTTTAATGAGAAGACAGAAACAGATAAATTACGGCAAAAACACAATTGCATATGATAGATACGTCAAAGAAGTTCCTAGGTAAGCTGCCTGACTCCCTGGAAGACTGAACTGTAAGTCATACCTGTTCTCTGTAAGCATGTTTAATATACTAAACTTGGTATCCAACACACATTCAAATAGAAAGTATCCAGAAAAAAGTTTTAAGACATTTTTTAAATGTGAAGTCACACTAACACTCAAATGAGGTGTGGTTTTCTTTTAACTAGGCAGTCTGTGAGAAATACCTCATGCTGAAGAAATGGAAACGAAAGTTCTTTTAGTTGTGCTTGTCAACAAGAGGAAATGAAACTGCTTTTTGCAGTTGATGTTTCTCATGAGTTAACTACAAGACAAAATGGGCTACAGTCGCTCTTGAGTCTGGAATGAGGTTTCCACACCTGTGATTGATAACCTTTTTTTTTTTTTTTGTTTTTCATTTGACTTGAAATCAGAGAAACTAAAAAGTTCATATGGAGTGGGCAAACCTCTTCTTGAGTGCTGGAGTTGCCCAGTAGTCTCTTCTCAAATAATACAGGCTGTAAGACTTAGCATTTAAAACTGTGTTATGTATGTGTGAAAACCACTAATTTTTCACTTCTAATATCTTAAAAGGTGCCATCGTGTACCAGGAGTTCATCCCAGAACTCCCAATAAGTTCAAGAAGTACAGCCGCAGGTCATGGGACCAGCAGATTAAACTGTGGAAAGTTGCACTGCATTCCTGGGATCCACCGACTGAAGGAGGATGTGATCTGCAAGAAATGTATGTACAGAGCGTTCAAGATGCTTTTATAGAAACTAATATGTCAAGTCTCATGTCTAAAATATAAACAGTTCATTCTGCAGTGCTCTGCAAAAGAAAACACCACACCGTGGAGGTGAGCTGATTCTTTCAGAGCAGTTTGCAGATTGATCTATGGTAGGAGCAGTGCTGGAGAGTTCTCACCAAGGGCAGATCCCCTGATTATTGAGCTTGGACCAACACAGTGTACAAGAACGTGCCTCACATCCTTCTCACTTGCTAGTTCAAGAACAGTGGTATAAAAATGTTGTTTCTTGAGCAGAGAGGAGAGAAGAACTTGTGAAATCATCTCAAGGTACCATTAAACTCAAAGCACGTCTGCAAGTGTTCACAGTCCAAGCTGCAGAAACTCAAAAAGATGCAGAGTACTGCAACTGCTTATTTTCCTCTGTAGAAAGCAGTACAGCTGATCAGGGAACATCCAAAATAAAAACTGTGGTAATAAAGGAATGAAGGGGACACAGATTTAACTTAATTCCTCAGTAAGCAGTTCTGTGTTAATGAAGTGCTGTTTTCCCTAACAGTGCTGATTTTAAAACCAATGTGGAGCAACGGGATCTAAAAGCAAAGCTTTGGCGTGGAAATACTGGTCTTATCTTTGGATCCTGGGTTCTAGGTCTGTGTACAGTGGATATTAAACCTTCTTTGCAAAACAGATTGACAAAAACCTTGTCTGGGGAAAAAAAATTCTTCCCACTTCCGTAACATTGTTATCATTTGTATTGAAGCATTTTTGTCTTTGACAAGTTGCAGTATTTAGTCTCAAGACTTTAATTCATTTTGGCTGTGTGGAGCTGACCTGCTGTTCCGTCTGCTTTCCCCAGTTTGCCACCACTGTCCCTCTGATCTCTGTGGGTCTCTTTGCTCTCCTTTGCTCACTGTTTTCAGAACTGCACCACAAAGTGCGACTGAACACTAAAAAATGAATTTGTTTTGTGTTGTATTCTTTTAAATGATTTTACAGCTGTCCTGTTGACCTTGGTGAGATGGAGACAGAATCTGTTGGAAGCAATTCTGAGTCTCAAACAAGCTGTCAAGACAATGATGTAAGCATATCTGTCATTTGCATAAATACATTTGTTAACAATTGTTTCCTTACTTAGAACTTTATCCTAAGTAGCCTGAATACCTGACAAATTCCATCATCTGTTATGTTTTAGGAATTGTTTATAAAGCTGAGTAATCTTTAAATTTGGATATTTTCCAGCTATAGCCAATATCTCTAAGTCTTGGACTTAGAGAGTTAGAATTTTAAATCATGTCAAATTACAAATATCTAATTTTTCATAGCCTACAAAAGAAAATTGTATCTGTTGAAAGCAAATCAGTTGTGAGTTGTAACATAGAGTGGAAATAATGCTTTAGATTGCAATGCCTAATGTTAAAATAGGGTGTGATTTTCTTGGCACACAGAATTAGGCTTCTTTTGTATCCACAGGCCACTTGGTACAGCTGAGCAGTAACCTTCAGTAAAGATCTAAGAATGCTTTTCTTACTGGATTTTTTTTTTTTCTGATGAATATTAACTCTGTATATTTTCATGTATAGAGATCCTTAAAACACTTGCAAGAAATCTTCAAATGTGGTTGAATGGGCAGAAGCCTGCATTTAAATCTCTGTAATCTTAAGACTAGCCTTGGGCTTTTGTGTGGCCTTTAAAGTGTTTGTAAGGCTCTGTTATAGGGTGGTCTAACTGAATTACAGAAGTTAATTGGGTTATTGCCTAACTAAATCTGTACTTAACTGCTAATTATTAACTGCCTTGGTCTTCCAGGATACGTGTTCTGGCACTCCCACGAAACTTAGACATGTTGAGTATCAAGCAGAAGGTGAATTTGACCTGGAAGTGTGTTTGAGTGAACCACTGAAAGAATTTGATACTGTGAGTTAAATAGTCTTATGCAAACTGTTTTAGAGAAAGTTTCCTTTAAATTTGAGAGGTTAGCTTGATTCATAACCTGTTAATAGTAAGAAAGCTTAAGCAAAGTTGAAGACTCTTTTTAAAGTTGTGGTTGGTCTACATATTCTCCAGACCAGACTTATGTAAAATTGCGATTAAGTTGTGTGACTTCTTGTTAACTTTTAATTTATGTATATCAGATTTTTTTAATAAAACTCTTCAGTAGAAAAACTAGCCAAAGGCAGTGCTATCCTCAAGTAATTATGGATAGTACAGCAAGATCTCACCAGTTTCCCCAGCACCACCTCCCCCACTGTGTCCATAATTTCAGTTGCCCACCACCTGCAGATAAAGAGTGAAGTAGGGAGATATTTTTGTATATTCCTTTGCTATTACATCTTCTACAGAAGTCTGACTTGAAGTAATGCATGTGGCAGCTGAACCACGTAGCTGATTAGTAACTAATAAACTCATCTACTGCAGTTACTTACTGTAAGATTAACTACCTACCCTAAAAAAACCCCTTTATTTGCAAAAACATTTCAGAAACAATTGGACATTAAATTCTCTCGAGAAATTGGAGGTCAATATGCTAAAGCCTATGCAATAATGGCTTTTTTTTTTTTTAAGCATTAGCCTGAATTTGAAATTTGTAAATAGTCATCAGTCATTTGTTAATACAGTCAAGAAAACAACGTCTAGGAAAAGTTCTTGGTTCTTCTAATTTGCTGGTTTTAAATGTAAAACTGTTGTAAATGATAACAACTGTACAGATTTTCTGCTGAGAGCAGTTAATGTTTCTATTGCTTTTACATGGGATGTTGCTGGAAAATAAATGGAATTGCCTTTACTTTTACTTATGACTCTTCAGCTTCATTTCCTACTGGCAATGTCCTGTGGATAACAAAATGCAGGAGAAGACTGGAAGCTGTGCATCTGAGATATTGATGCTAGGCTGGGGTATACTTGTGTTAGCACCATCCTCTGACTTTGAGCAGGACCTTAAAAACTGTTTATTTTCTGTGCAGGGCACCAGAGTGAATTTGAGTCTGAGTTACAATGGGCCTGTTATTCACCTTTTACAGACTCCTTAGAAGCAGTATAGTTTAGTAGATGTCCATTAGCTGGTTAACAAATTCTGTTCTCTAGGAAAAACTGCTGGAAGAGCTGGGTGGACGCTTCAGTCTTGTTTACTAACAGGACCTGTTTTACAGTCACCTCACTTGGGTTTATCTCTAAAATGAAGTTTTTAGGTGTTGATGTTACAACACTCAGGCTCAGTGGAGACACTTGAACTCTTCAACTCAAGTATCTTAGCTAGTAATACTGCTTACAGCTGTCTAATATGTTAGACACTCGTAAAATCTGGTAGCTTGACTTGATAGGGAAACCTTAAATAACCCTGGAGTAAATTGTAACTCATCCTTTAAGTGGAGACTTAAATGACACAGTAGAGAAAAAACTATTTAAGATTTTTAAGGGGAGGCAGGGGCTGGTTGTGTGTCAGTCTATACCTGAGTATCAGAACAGCCAGTAGAATTGTTTTTTAAAAAATAAGTTTTTCTACCCCATTATAGCTGCCCAAACAGGTTGGATCAGTGGAATATTCAGGAGATTGTTTAGAGCCTTCATAAGGTTAAGGCTACTTAGACCTGGGTTTGAAATAAGAAAGCACGTGGGTGAGGGCAATCTCTCAAGCACAAATCCAGGCTGAGGGATGAACAGCCAACTGTGTCCTGGGCTGCACCAAAATCAGCATGGCCAGCAGGGCAAGGGAGTGGATTCTGCCCCTCTGCTCTTGTGAGACCCCACCTGCAGTGCTGCATCCTGCTCTGGGAACCCCAGCACAGGGAGGACATGGATCATTTAGAGCATGAAGATACTCAGAAGGCTGGAGCATCTCTCCTATGGAGACAGGCTGGGAGAGCTGGGGGTGTTCAGCCTGGAGAAGAGAAGGCTCCAGAGAGACCTTACAGCACCTTCCAGTACCTGAAGGGGCTACAAGAGAGCTGGAGAGGGACTTTTGATAAAGGGGAACAGTTTTAAACTGAAAGAGGAGGGGTTTAGAGTAGGTATTGGAAGTTAATTTTTTAGTGTGAGGATGGTGAGGCACAGGTTGCCCACCTGGCACAGGTTGCCCAGAGAAGCTGTGGCTGCCCCATCCCTGGAAGTGTTCAAGGACATGTTGGATGGGGCTTTGAGCAACCTAGCTAGTCTATTGTGATGGCAGGGAGGGTTAGAACAAAATGATCTTTTAAAGATCCCTTCCAACACAAACCATCCTATGATTCTGTATTGAACCAATAATTATCCACTGAGACAAGCTAGAGGAGACACACATTTCAGAGCTTATTGTACAAAAATTTATTACTCTACTAATCTGAAAGATTCCATGTCTCTGAAAATCAATTTTTATTACTAAACCTTATCCATAGCTTCAGCAAAAATATTAATTCCAGAAATCATCTAGGAATGATATCTGAGACTGCTATTATGGTTCTTTGTGAGAAGGTAATACATGAAGAAATACTATTAAAACAAACAAAAAAACCTGATGTTTTTGAGTCATTTGAGTTCTCTGTGACAGTCCTTAGGATTTTGTGATGTGTGTTCTTTGGAATCTCTATTGGAGGAGGAAATGTAGGAGTCTCTCTGACTAAAAGATTCTGCTATTGGTATAATGTGGGGAAATTGTTCAGCTCTTCAGGTCCCTGCTATTCAGCACACACACTCCTCCAGGAACTAGGTACGTGTGAGCATTTTCCAGCCTGGAAATGTAACTGGTCCATGTCCAGTAGCTGTTTATGAAACAGTCTCAGATTTGTTAATTTTTCCTGAAGGAGCTGGCCATCCATAGTAGTGTATTTAATCCTACAAATTATTCCCCTTTGTCTCAGCTACTCAGAGAACCTAGTTTTTATGGTTGGCATTTGAAGAGAACAATCATGTTATCCGAGTTTGGATGTTTTTCCAAAGGTACTGAACGCTGAATTGGAAAACTTGTTTTTTGTGATAGAATAAAGCCCTCTAGTGGTTAAATGTGGGCTGACCCCATGCACTTAGGGCAGTGTCTGGTGACAGATCTCATGGAAAAGTGACATCCATATGTTCAGCTGTGCATAGATGCATGCAATGGAGTTTGCTTCAGATGGAGAATGGGCAAGTGCTGCTGTCAAACTTTAGCCTTATTAGGTTAAATTCTTTTAAAAATAAAACTGAACAGGTTGTTCCGTGGGCAGCAGAACCTGTCAACCCTGCTTTTTATAGACCTGTGCCTTCTGGTTTATGTTTCTCTTACTCCCTTCACACCAAGCCTGATCCTCTTTCAGCATCCTCATGCCAAGCCTGGCTAACTGACAGCAGTCATGGCTATGGATAATTTAAAGCTCCATCTGTTTTTGGGTGGGCTGTTGGTATGTGTGTGTGGATAGGGTGGCAAGGCAGAACACTGAAGAGCTGAGCTGTCCCAACTTTTCCTTCACTTGGACATTAATTGGGTCTTCCTTCATGACTTAGCTGTTGTCACATAAAGCTTCAAGGAACATATGTAACTTTCTGTTCAGTATATGGACAGACAATTCAAAAATTAGAGGGGGCAGGACAGATTTTGGGAGAGATTTGCCAGTACAACCCTTTAAGCCTCCAAGAAAGACAAGCTAAAACCATCTTTGTTCCATGAATCTGTTTTTGAGTCCAAAATACCATTCAAACAACCTTTTGTTCATGCACATATCTACTGGAGTTATTTTCAGGATTATCTGCTTTGTTGTGTTTCTAATGTAAATAAAAGCCCTGGTGTGGAGGAAAAGCACATGTAGAGCAACTACAGATTCCTGAGTATGGATCTATGAGGAAAACTGGGGGATGAGGCACTTGTTTTTCAAAAGTGGGCTGGTACAAGAGCCCATTTGAAAGAACTTTGACCTTACTGGACATTCTTACTCTTCTGTGTTGTTTTCTTCTATATGGTTTCTCAAAATGTGGGAAGAATATTTACTAGCTGTAAATTAAGTTTTAATGCTTCCTGACAATTAGGAAAAATTTTGCCAAAATATTATATAGATAGTTAAGAGATTGAAGTTACTTCTGAAAGTGTCAAAAATCCATTTTATTTTCAACGAAAACAGCATAGTTAGGATGTGGTATATATACTTTATTTAGGAGAGAAAGTGGTATTGCTGAGCAGAATTTATTCTGGTTGTGTTGCATTTAATTTTGTGGCATTTGGGTAATACAAAACACACAAGGAACCAAGATGTAACATCTGCCACTTCTGTATCTTTTTTATCTGCCCCCACTGTATTTTTGGATTACCAGTCCTATTCATTCTTTGAGCTTGTCTCTTACCTCTTGGATTGTGCTTGAGCACAAGAGAAAACTAATTTATCCAAAAGGCTCTGATTCAAACGCTCGAGAAATAATTTCATTTTGAGTGGAAAAGTTGGAGCTTATATTTGTGGGTTAAAGTGGGGCCCAGCTGTCTGTGTTGGGGCCTTTCTGTCTCTCCAAGTTTCTATTGAGAAAGTTCCTGGGAGGTACAGGGATGGCTCTAATTATTAACAAAAACAACGTTCCCTTTTGTGTTTCTTTAGAAAGGGGCTGTTCCATTTCTGCTGAGAAATACTTTGTTTTCAGAAATATGAGTGCAATATAGAGATGAAGATTTGTGCCTGCTCTTTCATTCCACTTTCATGTACTGGAATCAAAGATACTTTGGAGCACTGCAGAGGGCAGTAAAAGTGCATGTTTAATTACAGGCACACAAAAGGGAGCTCTGAGTTGCTTTACATTTGTTGTAAATGCCAGGAATCTAATTATACTTACTGATTCTGACCTCAGGAGCAAGCCATAGTCCCAATAAAGCCCCTTCAAGTCTGTCATCTTTCACTGTTCTTTCCATTTCCAGTTTCACTTGATCTTAAGCCCATTATTACAAGGAATGGAAGATAATAGTAACTTAACAGCACAGAGAGGAAAAATGG